AGGAGGCAGCGCACGGGACAGCGAAACGTGCGACAGAATTAAAAGGAGGATGGAATGCAGTGTTAAGAGCGACCAACCGCTGGGTGATGAACCCTGGAACTCGTCATCTGGGAGGAAGGGGTCGTCTGAGCCACGATGGACGCTCAAACGGGCCCGATCCACCACCCAGACGCCCAAGGGCGCGGCTTTCTCCCAGGAGAGTCCAAACAATGCGAGGCCTCGCTGGAGGTCTGGCTGCGGCCCCGACCTCGAAGGGTGCCCCCAGACGGGTGCCGAGGCCAGAGCAGAACCACTCGGAGTAGGACCTGAGCACACTGCGGGGAGGCCAGCTCCGCTTCGCGGAGTTGGCTCGGGCAGCGGCTCGCCCAACTCGGATGCCCAAAACTCCATGCCACTCTGAGACGGCACCGTCACTGGATAAGCTCGAAGCTCTGCTTCTTGGCAGGATGCCTGCCTCTCGAAGTCCGAGCCAGCTGGCGCTCGCGACCAGAAGAGCACACCACCGAGCACTCTGACGCGAGAAGGCTCCGACCCATAAACAGATCGCCCCGCGAGCGAAGCACAGCGCCAGGGCTTTCCAGCCTCGTCGGCGACCTGCGCCTCTCAAAGAGCCGCGTGGCCTCGAGCAGGCCACACGTGCACGGAACAAGGGCCACTCCACCCTCGCAGGGTCGGGTGGAGTGGCACTCCGTCGCCCCCAACCCCCCCACACCCAATCCGACCCACTCCCGCCCACCACACGAGGACGAGGAGGAGGAGGGGTAGGAGGAGGAGGCGAAGGGAGGCGTCAATGCGAGAGTTCGAGCTGGGGGCCTCCGGGCCCTGGAGTCAGGCTCCAGGAGACCTCTCCGGGAGCCTGAACTGAAAGGGCCCTCCGGACCCAATGAGACGAGACGGAGTCTTCTCCTTCTCCTCGGCGCACCCCGAGCACTCCTGAAACAGACTGGGACCCAAAGGAAGCGGAGCGAGGCAATCGCGTGGCTGACGAGTACACCTCAACAGTCCCAGACTGAAGCGTTGCCCCGATTCTCAAGAGGGGCCCAACAGCCCGACTGGAGACCGAGCGTCGTCAAACTGGGGCACGGGCAGGCGACAGCCTCGCTGGCAACCTACTTATGGTTGCGGCGGCTCCCCAGCTCTGACGGTGGAGCTGACCAACTCCAGAGAGACATCTGGGCATCCTCCTCGTAGTAGTCCTCCGCGTCATACTGTTGCTGACCGTCTTCGGCCGCGAAGTGCGGAGCGTCCTCGAAGAGGAGGTCCCAGTTGTCGGTCGGACCATCCTTGCCGTCCAGCGCCTCCGCCTGGAGGCCACACTCGTCGGCAAGGTACGTCAGCCTTGTCTCGCCACTGTGGAAAGGTCCCGAACGACTCCCCGAAACGCCCGATCCCGCCAACACTCTCGTGGAACTCCACCTCGCACGGCAACCGGATCGTGCGGGCCAATGGCAACGCTCGCATGGGACGCCGCGCACGGCTCGGCACACCCCTCACACGTTTCGCGGCCCACTGGGAACTCCACCGAAGACCCCACTGGCAGCACCCGCATGGCACCGCCGCGCCCATGTCGGCACACTCCTGATAGGTCTCGTGGCCCCGTAGGGAGCTCCACTGAAGACCCCAGTGGCAGAACCCGCATGGAAGTGCGGCGCCCGTTTCGGCACCCGTGACACGTTTCGTGGCCCCACATGGAACTCACCCGAAGACGAGACTAACAACCGCGGTGCTCACAAGTGCATTTGGTAGAGTCCTTCGCCAAGATGATTGAATGAGGCTCTCGCCGTAGCGTCGCTCACATTTGCTTTAAAACAAGCAATGGGATGGAGGCCGGTTCCTTCTCAAATAGGAGCTCCCGCTCGAGACATCGAAGTTCAGGCCCATACGTCTAACCCTGCGCAGCAGCTGCAAGATGGCGGAAACGCTGCTGTCAGCAAGCAGACGGACGAGTAGAATTGGTCGGAGCTCCGCGGGGATGCACCTACACGTGCACGCGCCACGCTGGTCCTGGGCAGTCTGCGCTGCCTGGCGGAAGGGGGCGAGGACGGGAGAAGCAGGCAAACGACGACGAACGCCCAGGCGGGAGGCCAAGGCCGGAGGGGCCAGGCGGGGACAGCAGGCAGGGAGCAGGAGGAAAGGAAAGGGAGGGAAGCAGCGAGCAGAAAGGGAGGAAGGAGGAGGACAAGGAGGGGGGGAGGGGAAGCAACCGCAAGCACACAGGCCAGGCCAAAGGCTGGGAGAGAAGAGCCACCCGCGACGAGGCTGCGGCCCCTACGGCGGCGACCTGGGCGGGGTGGCCGACCGAGCCGAGCAAGCTGCGGCTTGGCGGGGATTGCCCTCTGAAGTATCCATCCACCGCCCCGCCGTGGAAGGGCCGGACGGCGGCGCGCGCGAGGGGTCGCCGGCGCGACGCTGGCGAAAGGGCGCGGGGGACGTCCGCGCTGCCCGGCACGGGCGGGGGGGTGGACGGGGGGCGTTAGGCAGCGCCGGGGACGCCTCACACGGCGTCCGCCGTGGAGGCAGCCGTGGCCGCGGCCAGGCGGGCCGCTGCCACCCCTGCCCTTCCAGACTGCGTCTGGAGGCGCCGCAACGCCGCCCGCGCGTTCTCCCTGCGCAGGGAGGCAGAAGGTCGCTGGGCGTGCTGGTCCGCAACCAGTGCGGCGTCTTCCCCCGCGGCGTCAGCCACCCGCGTGGTCAGGACCCCGAAGGCCCTGCGCGCCTCGCGGCGCCACCCGCCGCCGCGGCCTTCCACCACGATGGGGATGAAGGCGAAGCTTTGCGTAGCGCACAGCCGCGCGGTGACCTGGTGCTGCCTTTTGAACTCCTCGTGCCGCTCCATCGCCGCGCTTGACGAAGCGGCCGACGCGGCGAGGAGGTCGGCGCGCAACCCTGACGTGGCGGCAAAGTCCCAGGCGGCCGCAGTGCCATTGCGCCACCGCGGCAAGTAGACGTCCACAGGGCGGCGTCCACCTGGGACCTGCCCTGCTCGCCTCCGGGTGTGGCCTCCCTGGCGGGGCGCGGAGGTAGGAGCCCCGGGCGCTCCAACTCCGCCCCACCGTGACCCGCGGCCAGGGCGTCGAAGAAGGCCTGGTTGCGCAGGGCGTTGTGGCGTCTGGTCCGGTCGCCGCGGCAGGCACATGGATGGCGGCAGCCCTTTTCGAACCGGGGATCTCGCTGGACACCTTTTTGAGCTGCATCACCGTACCATGTCGCATGCCTCGTTATTCACAGGACGGATTCAAGGCAATTCCTCTTCAAAACGGGGCTCTCGCCTGAACGGCATGCCCGTAGTTTGCTGGCTTTCGATCGAAGGGCGTCTCCTGCAGTAAAGCGGAAGGCCTGTAGGAGCATATGAGGAGGGCACTTGGGACGAGAGAGTACATTGCAACATCGCTGACGCATCTTTGATTTACGCTGGTCCTCATAATCCTCGCTCTCCTCCTCCTTGCTCCTCCTTGCTCCTCCTGGACTCCTCCTCCTCCTCTTCCTCCTCCTCATCATCATCATCATCATCATCATCATCATCATCGTCATCATCATCATCATCATCATCATCATCATCATCATCATCATCATCATCATCATTACCATCATCATCATCATCATCATCATCAGCAGCAGCAGCATCAGCATCATCATCATCATCATCATCATCATCATCATCGTCATCATCATCGTCCTCACCATCCTCACCATCCTCACCATCATCATCATCACCACCATCATCATCATCATCATCATCCTCATCATCCTCCTCATCATCCTCATCATCCTCACCATCCTCATCAAACTCATCATCCTCATCATCATCCTCCTCATCATCCTCAACTTCATCATCATCATCATCAGCATCATCATCGTCATCATCATCATCATCATCATCATCATCATCATCATCATCATCATCATCATCATCATTACGTATCCTCTTCCTGCCGAGGCGACGCCAAATTCCTCCTCCTCCTCCTCCTCTTCCCCCCCTCCCTGTCGTGTCCTCTTCCTCCCGTCTTCCTCCCGAGGCGAGGCCCACTTCCTCCTGGAACTTCTCCCCTGACTCCGCCACACGCAACCACTTGGACGCCCGACATGGGTACGGAAAAAATAGGTACAATGCCCAACAACAAGTGTTGTCCAAAAGCATCAGCGGGCGCTGTTGGGCAGGCGGCCTTCTGTCTCAAATGGACACAGACCGCGGCGGCGCGGACGGCGAGCCCTGTTCAAAATGAACAGGAACTGCTGTTGGGCATCGTACCCACTCTTTCCATACCCATTCCGTTCGTGCTGAAACGAGTGACCCCGACGCGTGACCCCTCTGGCGCGCGGCTTGCCGATCCTGGCACGGGGGGCGCGACGCAGGCGGCCCTCCCCGCTTGGGCGTGGGCCCCCCGACGGCCGCGCACACCGCAGGGCCGCTCTGGCGAGGGGTCGCTCTGACGCGTCGCCGGCTGACCTCCCCCCACTCCTCCACATCCTTCTCCCCCTTGGCGTCAAGTACGGCCTGTCCCTCTACAGAAGGAACATCCAAAAATAGTCACGCAAACAAATAGCCTGGGGACGATTTCTTTCGATATGTTTTGGCTATTTGGGGGTACTTTTCTGGGTATGTGTAACTTTTCGCTCGAAGTCCACCTGTAGGGGGACAGGCCCGACCTAGCCTTGGCGGCGCGCACAGGGGGGGAGGGGGGCGGGGGGAGGGGGGAAGGCAATCGAGAAGGAGGCTGCTTCTCAGAAGCGCAGGCATCATCGTCCACACGGGCCCCGCCCTCTGAGAAGCCCGCTTCAAGAAACCCCCCCCCCCCCCCTCCCCGACCCCCCCCCCGTGGGTGCCCACCGGTCCCCAGGGGGGAGGCCGAGTTTTGCAAAAAACCGGACCCCCTCAGGGAAGGGAGGAGGAGGAGAGGAGGAGGGAGGAGGAGAGGAGGGAGGGGGAGGGGAGGAGGGCCCTTCGGCCTCTGCTCCCACCCCGGGGCCCATGGGGTCGGCCGGCCGCGCGGGCGGGGCGCGTGCGGCGGAAGACGGGGGGCGGCGCGCCCGTGCGCGCGCGCTGCCGGGGCGCGCGCTCCCCCCCCGACGCGACGACGACGACGACGACGACGACACAACAACACACAACAACACAACAACGACTACGGAACGACGACGACGGGACAACAATAAAGGACGACGCGACGACGCGGCGGCGGCGACGACGACGACGACAACACCAACACACCAACAACACCAAAACACCAATGAACTTTCGTCTTCTGTCCACGTCTGGGGCACGTATCCCCGCCCCCACCGCCCTCTTCGCTTCGCTCGCCCCCTCGGGGGATTATCCTTCCCCGGCCCTTCGCGTGCCCCCCCGCTTCGTGGGAGGACGGAGGAAGGGGAGGGAGGAGAAGAGGGAGAGAGAGAGAGAGATCGAGAGAGGGGCAGAAACTCAAGCACGTGACCACAGGAGGCCCCGGGAAAAGGGCGACGGGCTCGGAAGGCTGCCCGGGCAGCCAGGCGACAGGGCAGGGGCGTTGCGTGCCCGTCGCGAGGAACCTTTAGCAAAGCGTTTTTCCATGCGAGATCATCCATTCGTGATTCCTGAGCGTTGGCGGCGTGCGTCTTACGAGGTCCCCGCGAGCGGCGCTGCGCAACCCTGAACAGTTGCGCAGGAGCGCGCTTGGGCTGTGGAGAGCCCCTGGGGGCCCCGCGCTCGGCTTCCCTGCCAAAAAAACGGCCTCGGGGGGCCAACAACTCGGGAGGAGAAATGAGAGCAACAAGACCAGCAACAACGACGAGGCCGACGACGTCACCGTGCGGGCGCTGCTGCTGGGAGCCGCTGGGGGCCGCGCGCTCGGCTTCCCCCCGTCGTCGCCCGCCGTCATCGTCGGCCTCGTCGGCCTCGTCGGCCTCGCCGTCGTCGCCGTCGTCGTCGTCGTCGGCCTCGTCGTCGTCGTCGCCGTCGTCGTCGCCGCCGCCGCCGCCGTCCTCAACATCGCCCTCAGCATCGTCGTCGTCGTCGTCGTCGTCGGGCTCGCTTCGTCGGCGGCGGCGTGGTCTGCGTCGCCTCGTCGGCTCGTCGGCGCTGGCGGTACCAGCGTCGTCGCCGCTGGCGTCGGGGGAGGCGTCATCGTCGCCCGCGTCAGGGGAGGAGGAAAAGGAGGAGGAGGTGGAGGAAGAAGATGAGGAAGAGGAGGAGAAGGGGGAGGAGGAGGAGGAGCAGGAGGAGAAGGAAGAGTAGAAAGAGGAGGAGGAGGAGGAGGAGGAGGAGAAGGAGGAGGAGACAGCGAACGCGAAGTATCCGCAGCGAGAGGCCGCGGCAGCGGAGGCGAGGGCGGCGTGGGGCGCCGTGAGCGCGCCGTCGCCGTCGCCGGGGGTGGTCATTGGCAGGTGCCCCCCCCCCCCAAACCGTGACTTGAGCAGGGAGCAGGGGCCGACCGTCCCAGCACTGGCATAGGTCTACCACGGACCGTGTTGAACAATGTTCCAGACAGCACTAGCAATGCACAACAGAAAGCCAGTGGAGTACAGTAAGACTGCCCCAGCCACGGAATGGTTTGAGAGAATTTCGTGCAAACCACAACAGGCTCGTAGAACATTATCTCGAGGGCCAATGGGATAGTCAGAACGCTTCGCCACTGTTGAGTGTGGACGCTGGCGGGAGGGGCAGGCCAGCCGACCTCCGCCGTAGCAATTTCGCATGCCGCCGCCAGAGGAGGCGCTGCCAGGCCTCGGCAGAGAACATGTGGCAGGCTCGTGTCGTGGCGATGTCGGCGTTGCTGCCTGACACCGTGTGGATCGTTCAAGCTTTAGGTCGGGCATGTCCCCCTAAGATAGTCAAGAAATACTCCCAAAATGATCAAACATGATAGAAAAATCGTTCCCAGGCTATGTTTTTACTCTTTTTGAATATTCCTCCTGCAGAGGGACAGGCCCAACATCATTCAAGCTTGAACGATCGCTGCCTCCTGATACCGCAGATCCTTCGGCATCGGCCAACCCGGGCCACCGCCATGCAACCTTGAACGCCCGCGCTTTTGGGTCGCCGCCGCGTCGACTGCAGAGGCGCTCGAGGCAGCCGCTCCAGAACCGCCCGTGTGCACAAGAAGTCGTCGCGTCGGTCGGAGTAGGAGGAGGAGGAGGAGGAACGAATGAATGAATGCCGTTCATGGTCCATGCGTCTATCTCTGCTGGTTGACTGTGCTCTGCACTGCGCGCTCGTGTACCGAACGGACGCAGACGTGCTCTGAGTCGGCCAGGAGTTCGGCCTGCTCGACGGAAGAGCTACAGGGCCCACGAAGCCACCGAACCAACACTCCGAACCTCCTGCACGGCCGCCGGAGCCCAGGAGGCCCGAGCAGGGCAGGGACGCCGTCCCGTGTCCCAACCTGCTCGGGCACGAAGGCTAAGTCGGGCGTGTCCCCCCACAGGGGGCTTTTCGACGGAGAGTAAAAAATACCCAAAAAATTGCTCCAAATTGGTCAGAAAATACTCCAAAAAAAGTCTCCAGACTACTTTTGGATTATTTTTGAATATTCCCCCTGTAGAGGGACAGGCCCGACTTAGCACAAAGGTGAGGACGCCATCACCGTGGCACCCGAGTGGGGGTGGGACAAGAGCCCCTCCCCCCCCAAAAGGGACGCCACGGCAAAAAAACGCCATCATCCTCAACGACGAATTATCTCTCGCCCGCGCTGTGCCTTTTGCGCTCTCGCTGAGGAGGAGGAGGAGGAGGAGGACGACGACGAGGAGGAGGGGGAGGGAGGAGGAGGAGGAGGAGGAGGAGGAGGAGGAGGAGGAGGAGGAGAAGGAGGAGGAGGAGGAGGAGGAGGAGGAGGAGGGAGTGGGAGTCGGTGTGTGGGCGCGCCCTGGCTGACTCGGGGACCAAAGAACCCAAGAACGACGGACAACCTCCTTCGTCTTGAGCTGTTACTGAGACGCTGGATGCCCGGAGCCCTAGCCCGTCCGAATGGCGAGCTCCAGAAACGCAAAGTCCACGAAGCGTTGACAGCTTTGGGGGAACATCTGTCACTTCCACTGGCATCCGCCAGCGGAGCCGCCCCCGTTTTGCTTCGGCCAGCTTCCGCCAACTTCCGCCAAGGACGAGATACGGTCGCGAACTCATGCTCAGAGTGTCGCGGCGGCGGCCCTGGCGACACGCTCTGCCCTGCAAGCGGAGAGCGTGTCGCTCCGCTCCGCGGGCGGGGAGGCTGGGAGAGGCTCGAGGCGCTCACGCTTGGAGACCGGGGCCTGGTCGGCGTGTCGCGCCGAAGCGTGGTGGGCCCGGCGGCCCGACACGCCGAGGAGAAGTCCCCGACCGCACGACTTCACCACCGCTGCCACCGCCGCAGCCAGCCGGATCTGCCCTCGCCGCCACCGGCATCACCCGCAGCGCACGCCTCCGCGACCCGTTCTTCAGGGCCCGCCCGCCCGCTGGGGCCCGCCCGCCCGACTCGGCCGCAAGCCCGTGGAGTGTCCGCCCGCCCGCCCGCCCGCACTGCGGACGGGGGCAGATCTGGAACCTCTGAGAGCCGGCGGGTCCGGGAGGTGCATCGCGCGGCGCGTCCGGCCTGGGGCCCTCCAGACCGCCCCGAGAGCCAGGGCGCAACTCATGGCCGGCGGCACGTGCGCGGCCCAGGGGGGGGGGGCCGGGGACGCACTGACATATGAAGAGGCGCCCTGAAATCTGGAGAGATGTCATTCCCTGATGGGGTCCGAGCAGATGGGGTCGAAGGATCGCGCCGCATCGCCAATGCATCGTCGATGCAGCGCCGATGCATCGACGATGCATCGGCGACGTCGCCGATGCATCGGCGACGTCGGCGTGGGAAACACGGTCTCCACATCGAGGCGCATCGTCGACGCATCGGCGATGCGGCGCGATCCCTCGACCCCATCTGCTCGGGCCCCGCCTAAGAGGCCTAGAGTCAAGGCCCCCGCCATGACATCCTCCCCCCCCTGCGTAGTCATCACCCGCCTCTTGGCCGCCCCCAATTCAGGGTCCTGCACATGTACAGTCGGGGCGCTGAAGAAGGAACCCTGTTCGTTTGGGAGGGGTTCAGTGTTCCTTAGCTGTTTTGCAGTTTGCCTAAGGTTTTCCTTAATTGTTCGATGGGAAGGCGAAGCGTATGGAAAAAAGGGGCCTCGTTCCTTAGTTAGGGTTCCTTAGGTCAAAGCCCCGACCGTAGACCTCCCCCCAAAAAAGCAGGCGGTCCTCGACGAGGACGACGTCGCGCGGCGCGCCTCCGGCGCCTCGCCGGGCAGGCGTGCCGCGCCGAGCGAGGGCAGCTCCTGGGGCGGCCGCGGCCTGGGGCGGTCGCCGCCGCCGCCGCGGCCGCCACACGAACTGTCAAGTAGCGGCGGTCTCGCCTCTTCCGCCTCCTCCTCCTCCTCCTCCACCTTCTCCACCTCCTCCTCATCCTCCTCCTCCTCCTCCTCGTCCTCGTCCTCGTCCTCGTCCTCCTCCTCCTCCTCCTCCTCCTCCTCCTCCTCCTCCTCCTCCTCCTCCTCCTCCTCTCCTCCTCAGTCCTCCTCCTCCTCCAATACCACCTCCCTCCTACCCCTCCTCCTCCTCCTCCTACCTCCTCCTCCTCCTCCGTATCCCCAGCCTAGAGCCAATTCCAGAGAGTGCAGTATACTCTAGTAGTCTATAGTGTAGGGTAGTGAGTCCGCTAGACTGAGCCGCTTCCCGAGAGTGTAGTAGTGCCTAGTAGTCGTAGCTGTATGCAGGGCGAGCGGGTAGAGGAGGCGTATAGCCGAGCCGAGCGTCTGGCAGCAGCGTCTCCAGCAGAACAGTGTAGTAGTGCGTGTGTATCGCATCTCGCATCTAGTCTCTGCCAGAGGCACCTTCCTGGGCCATGCCCGTGGGGAGGAGGGTCTGCGCCGCGGCCACAGTGGCACCTCGGGGGCTGGTGGTGGCGCAGGCGCCGGCGCCGCTGGGCAGCACCTTGCAATGCAGAGGGGGCTCACCAGGCTGCGGGAGGAGCTCAAGACCCTGCGCACGGAGGGCAAGAAGGGCCCCGTGGCGGAGGCGCCCAGTGGTGCTGACGCCGAGGAGGGCGCTGAGGGAGGAGACGAGCAGCGCAAAATCGAACATCTTGATTGCCAGCTACGGGTGCTGCGAGGCCTCTCCGACCCAGGGGAAGAAATTCTCGACACAATCGAGCGGCTGGCGGCCCAGCGGCAGGGCTTGGCGGAGCAGGTGCGCGCCAAGAAGCCCATTGTCGCGCAGCTGCTCACACTCCAGAAGAAGCTCCAGTCCAAGCAGGACGCCATCGGCAGGCAGGATGCGGCGGTGGCCAAGGCGCAGGAGGCAGTCACCGCGGCGCAGGCTGCGTTGGAGGCCGAGCGTGAGAAGGGCGCGAAGCTGCGTGCTGATGCTGCCGAGCTGGAGGAGCAGGTGCGGGCGCTCAGCGCCCAGGTGCCCAAGCCTCCCGATGCGAAGGAGTCCGCGGGGGCCCCAGGTGGTGCGCCGAACCTCGATGGCTTGGCCGACCTCCTCAAGGAGCTGGGGGCGTCGGGCGAAGTCACGGAGAAGTTCTTGGCCCACCCCAAGATCGCGGCGTCTTTCGGCCCTAGGGCTGCGACGCGCGTGCGGCCTGCTGGTGATGGGGATCCTGGCGGCGTGGCGGCGACGCCGCCTGATGCCAAGAGACTGCGCACGGCGGCGGACAAGGCGCCCCTCGAGCAGCTGCGGGACAGCATCGCGGCCGCTGGAGTCCAAGTCCCCACCGAGGAAGCGGAGATCAGGGCCAAGGCGCACCAGATCGCTGCGGCTGCCAGTGCTTGGGCCTACCGTGCCTACTAGGCGCCAGGAGCCGAGGCTTTGGTTGTTCTGGAGTACCATACTCAATATGATGATGGGAGTATCTGGTAATACTAAGTACGGTGGCAGTGCGGACACTGTCAAAAGGGTGCTGACCACGGTCAATGTTTCATGTGCGAGAGGACCCGAAGGGTGACATCTTCGGCGTACAGGAGCACCGCGTCTTGGGTGACAAGCTGTGCTCCCTGCAGGGCCAGGTGAAGGACCTGGGTTTCCATGGTCTGTGGGCCCCAGGTGTGGCCACAGGTGGAGGCCCGCTGGATGCCTCGAGCGGCGTCGCGCTCCTCACGCGCAACGTCATCCCTGTGACGGCGCCGCCCTTCACGCCCTCCCACGTCCTGGAGGAGGCGCGTTTGTTGGCGGGCCACGTGCACTGGGGCGTGAAGGGTGGCATCATCGTTGTGGTGGTCTACTTGAGGCACTCAGTAGGCATGGGCGATGATAACTCGGACACGGTCCACGAGCTGCAGCGCTACCTCAGGGCGCTCAACGCGCGCGGGCTGGACTGGGCCGTCATGGGCGACTGGAACATGGAGCTAGACGAGCTGAAGGGGCCATGGCTTGAGCAGGTGCGGGGCGTCCCGATCGTCCCGTCTGAGCCGACCTGCTGGCAGACGGTGGGGGGCTCCTGCCTGGGCTACCTCATCGTGGCGCCGAACCTGGACCCGAGGCTAGGCGAGGCATGGGTCACGATGGATGCGGCACTGCACCCACACGCCCCCGTGCACGTGAACCTGGCCACGGTCGACCGCGAGGCCTTTGTCAGGGTCGCCGTCGAGCCGCGGGGGTTCACTGCGGTGCCGCCAGTGGGCGCAGCGCCTTTTCCTCATGACCGAGGGCGGCGGGCGGCGCTGCAGCAGGTCCTCGCGGCGGAGGAGCCTGGCCCCCTGGCGCAGGCGTGGGGCGCTGTCGTCGGCATGGCGGAGGCCGAGCTCTGCAGCCGCCGGTACCTCATGGGGGGTGGAGAGGCGGCAGCACACTGGCAGGGCGGGCGAGCCTGTCTTCAAGCTTGCCCAGCCGACGCGGCAGCCGCCGAGACGGAGGAGGCTGTGCGACCCGAAGGTCAGCGCCCACATGGCGGCGGCAAGGTGGGATCGGCATCTGGATGCTGCACGCGCGCGATTGGTCAAGTTGCTCGGGTGCGACCTGGATGACCGCATCGAGAGGGCCGTGCACCGCATCCTCGAGACACACCGCTACTACGGCAACGTGGCGAAGTCGCAGCGCGTGCTCGGCCACCTCTCGGAGGACGTCGCGCAGTGGCTCTTGGGTGGCGTGGGCCAGATGAGCAAGAGGATGTGGACCGCCCAGGTCGAGAAGATCGTGGCGGAGGCCGAGCGGCTCACCAGGCGCTACAATGGCGAGCGGGAGAAGGAGTGGCGTGCGTGGGCGGCCAAGAGCCTCACAGGCGGGGCGAGTGCTGCACACCGCTTCACGAGGTCACCTCCTGAGGCTGAGGTCCGTGGAGCCACCACGCGGGCTAGCCCGCGCCAGCTGGCGGACCGCGAGCTCGATGGATGGAGGGGCGCGTGGACCGTCCATGAGCAGGGCGCCCTGGAGAAGCCCCCTGACTTTGACGACTGGGCCGAGCTCCCGCGGATGAGCGTCGGTCACCTCAGACGTGCGGCGCTGTGTTTCACGGAGCGCGCCGCGGTGGGCCAGACGGGCATTGCACCACGGGCCCTCTGGCACCTCAGCGACATCGGCCTTTACGTGCTGTCGGCGCCCTTCAGCCAGCGCGAGAAGTTGGGGGGCATGGCCGACCGACAGGGTGCACACAGTGCTGGTGCGCCTGCCCAAGGCGAGCGGAGGGTGCAGGCTGATTGCCCTTGTGAACTCTTTCCTCCGTCTGTGGGCGAAGGCGCGCTCGACGATTCCGCGGGCCTTGCTCGACCAGGCGGACGTGCCCAATCTCTGGGGCACAGGTGGAGCTGGCAGGACCTCGACGGCGGCAGCTTTCCACCACAACCTGACGGCGGAGATCATGAACATCAACGGAGGGCACAGCGTCACTGTGTCCTAGATGCATGGAAGGCGTTCGACAGCTTGATTGGAGGCAGGCTGCTGGACGAGGCTCGAGCGATGGGGTTTCCACTACGCCTCGCGTGGGCCATCCTCAGGTATCACCACGCGCCGAGGCGCATCAAGGCGTTCGGCTCGATGTCGAAGAGCTTCACGGCGCACCAGGGCATCCTGGCGGGCTGCTCCCACTCGATGGCGGTGCTGGTGGTGGCGACGGCGCGGGCCTTGCGGCGGCTGGCGACGCATGGCGTGATCCCGCGCACGCTTGCCGACGATACACCAGCCCAGTGGATCGGCACGAATCTGAGTGGCGTGCGCGTCTTGTGACAGGCCGTCAAGCGCTTCAAGCATGAGGTCGAGGACGTGGGCCTCTTGCTGCAGGAGCTCAAGTCGGGCTACGTGGCGACGTCCAGGCAGAGCCACGATGCAGCGGCGCAGTTTGGCAGGCGACTCAGGATGGGCTCGCAGCCGCACATGAGGAACCTTGGTCACGACCTGAATGGGGCCAAGGCCTGCAGGAAGGTCGTCAAGGCCAGACTCAAGAACGTGAGGCCGCGGCTGAGGCGCGCGGCGAGGCTACGACGAGCTGCTGGAGGGCGTGCGGCGTGCCTGTGGCAGGCGGGCCTGCTGCCCGCTGCCGCCCATGGAGCGGCGGCGAGCGGGGTGGCCCCCTCCAAGCCGACCGCGCTGCGCCCGGAGGCGGCCCGACTTGCCGGGGCCAAGGGCCGAGGTGGCAGCGACGCCCTCTACCTGGCCAGCGAGCGGAACCCTTGGTACGACCCAGTCTTCGCGGCGACCGTCGAGCCGCTCATGCACAACGCTGCGGTCGTGTGGCAGCAGGCGGTGTCCATGAGCGCGCTGGAGAAGGCCTGGCGCGTAACGCTGGACAAGGTCGAGGCGGGCGAGGACAAGCTGACGTGGGCGTCGGCGCGCGGGCCGCTCAAGGTGGTCGTCCTGTCGCTCAAGCGGATCGGCTGGGTGATGCTGTCGTCGGTGCTGATCCAGCCTGACGTGGGGCCAGCGATTTCGCTCTTAGCCACATCGCCTCGTTTTTTCGAGATCTCCTGAGGCAGGGGATCCAGCGTTGGCAAATGCGCCAGATTGCCTCTCACCACGATGCCGCCACGCCTCTCTGGCCGCGAGGCATGCGAGCTTGCGCGGGCGGGAGGGGGGCGGCGGCGACTGGGGCGGGGAGGGTCGGAGCTCTGCGCAGTCTGCGGCCTGGCTCTCCCCGGCCGAAAGCTAAGTTGTATAGCAAAGGAATGTGCGATGATCAGAAGTGTCGAGCGTGCCCGCACGAGGCTGAGACGCTTGGCCATTGTTTCGTTGAGTGCCCAGCGCTGACGCAGCGCTTGTTAGACGATGAAGAAGATTGTGGTATTGATCCCAAGTTGGCCGCAGCTCGCGGCGCCATGTTGGAGCACGGGCCGATTGTGGAAGGCCGCCACGATGTATATTAT